TAGTTCTGAACCAATTAAGAGTCATTTGATACGTTGGGGTTTTAAGCTAGGATATGACCGGTGGATATGGCATGGTGAAACTGTACCTACTAGTGAGGGTACAAATCAAAGAAACTGTAGAAAAAATGTAGAGAAAGATCAAAGTAATGAAGATAATGTTGGAAATGATGGAGACAATGACCGGCTAGATGAATTGATGCGGGATATGCAAGGGGATTTGAATGAAATGCCTCAAGAGTTTGAAAGTTTTTTTGAGAGTTCTGGAAAACCTTTGTTTTCTGGATGTAGTAAATTTACAAAGTTATCGGCAGTGCTTAAATTGTATACCGTAAAAGCAAAAAATAGGTGGAGTGATAATAGTTTCACGGAGTTATTAGAGCTTTTAAAGGGCATGATTCCTAATGAGAATGAACTTCCTTGTTCAACTTATGAAGCAAAGAAAATGTTATGTCCGTTGAGTATGGAGATTGAAAGGATCCATGCATGTCCAAATGATTGTATTTTGTATTGGAATCAATACAAAGACATGCATGTGTGTCCGAAGTGTGGAGCATCACGTTATAAACGAAAAGGGCTTGATGATGCATGTGACCACCAGAAGAAAGGTTCTCCAGCGAAGTTGTTGTGGTATCTACCGGTGATTCCAAGATTCAAACGTTTGTTTTCAAATGCAAATGATGCGAAGAATTTGCAATGGCATGCTAGTGGGAGAAAAGAAGATGGAAAGTTGAGACATCCTGCCGATTCTCCTCAGTGGAAGAACATTAATAAGAAGTTTCTCGATTTCGGTGCTGAAAATCGAAATCTTAGGCTTGGACTATGCACAGATGGAATGAATCCTCATGGTAACATGAGTAGTCGCCATAGCACTTGGCCAGTTCTTTTAACAGTTTACAATCTTCCTCCGTGGCTGTGTATGAAGCGCAAGTACATCATGTTATCATTGTTAATATCTGGTCCTAAACAACCAGGAAACGACATAGATGTGTACTTGGCACCGCTTATTGAAGATTTAAAGATGTTGTGGAATGAAGGTGTGATAGTATTTGATGCTCATAGTCAAACCAACTTCACTTTACGAGCCATGCTGTTCTGCACAATCAATGACTTCCCAGCATATGGTAACTTGTCAGGGTATACTACTAAAGGGGCTAAGGCATGCCCTGTTTGTGAAGAAGAAGCAGTTGATCTTTGGTTGAACAACAGTAGGAAAAATGTGTTCATGAGTCATCGAACCTTTTTACCTATTGACCATCCTTATCGAAAGAGGAAAAAAGCTTTCAATGGAAAATCTAAGACTGGAGGTGCTCGTTTACCATTATCAGGGGATGTTGTTTATGAAAGAGTCAAAAACATTGATAATGTGTGGGGGAAAACTTCAAAAACAAGTCAAAAGGGTATTTGGAAAAAGAGGTCTATATTATGGGATTTACCATATTGGGAGCATTTATCTGTTCGACATTGTCTTGATGTAATGCATGTGGAGAAAAATATTTGTGATAACATTATCGGGACATTGTTGAATATTCAGGGTAAGACGAAAGATGGTATTAAAGCTAGAAAAGATATGGTAGAAATGGGGATACGGACTCAATTAGCACCACAAGAATCTGGAAAGAGGGCATACTTACCTCCAGCTTGTTATACTCTGTCTAAAAAGGAAAAAAACAAGTTTTTGTAGTTGTCTAAATGGTGTCAAGGTTCCTTCTGGCTATTCATCTAACATTAATTTACTTGATTAGTGCGTGAATTCATCAAAAAAAGCACCATATATATAGCTCTCCCGTAGAGTTATATAGCTTCATGACTGAACAACAATGGCAGAAATTTGTAGAAAATCATCAAACTAAAGAGTTCAATGTACACTACATAATTTACTTGCTTACTAATCATGTTTTATTATTAGTCTTAAATGCTTTATTAGTATTAAACTACTATTTAAAAATAAATAAATTTTATTTTTAGGTCAAAAGTCAAAAGTTTAGGGAGTTGCAAGCGCGAAATGCGCATCCCCACTTTTTAGGACCTAGGGGCTATGTTGGAATGCAAGCTGAGTGGATGATATGCGACCCATTGTCTTCACAGTCTTCTTGTGCTGCTATTACATCGACCATAGCATAGCATCTAATGATCGTAGTTTGGATTGGGTTCGAGCGCGATCTAAAAAATCTGAAGATGGAAGTTATTACATTCCCAACGAAAAAACAAAGGGAGTGTTTGATAGAATTGTAAGTAATACAAATACTTTAAATATATATATTATTGATGAGAATGTTAGTTAATATGTAAATTTTAAATCTTGTTCGTGTTGAAATAGGTCGAGAAGTGTGAAGAGATAAGTCAACGCTCATTCCAACCAAACAGAAAAAATGATATATTGACATCAGCTATTGGCACCAATGAGTACGGTGGCTATGTGAGAGGTGTTGGAGTGCACGCCAAAATCCGGGATGTGTTTGGTAAACCGGATAGCATAAGTCGTGGGAAATCAGCTGGGGTTGTTTCAGTTAGTGATCTTGAGGAGATTGTGAAGAAAATTTATGAGAAAGTGGCTGAAAAGATTAGAAAACAAACAATGGAAGATATGCAATCTAAGTTAGAAATAATGCAGTCTCAGCTTGAAAATATGATCAAGAATGCACAAGCAAGTCCAAATGTTGTCACACCAATTCGGAGCAGTTGTCATTCTATTGATCCATTAAACAACGTTCAGGTAATATTGAATATCTTTAATATTTTGTTCAATTTGAATATCTTCTACTTTTTATTAAGCCTTTTAATTTTTGATTTATAGGAAAATCTAAAACAAACAACAATGATGAATTTTGAAAGTGGGGATCAATCTACTGTAGAATTACGACCACTTCTTGTTGATGATGATACATTGCAGCACTTGGGAGATGAATCCAAAAAATTGGTCAGACATCTTAAATACTTGCCTTCCAATTTAGATTACATTGACGTGGACCTAGAGAAGGCAATCTTCCATCATTCACATGTGGAGTTCATTCACGTGTTGTTTGAAGATATTAAAGACATGTTCACGATGCAATGGCTTGATGTGACCATAATACAAATATTTATGTTGTAAGTATTTTTTATAATGTTTTTATATTTACAAAATTTTCTTTAGTCTTTCATTTTTATTAATTATCTACGTTGTAGATGTCTTCATCGGATGTGCAACAGAATTGGAGTGACTACAATTGAATTTCTCTGTCCAAGGACTATTTCTAGAGACAATGTAGTTAAGAATTCTGATGAGGTCACACAATATCTTTTGCATGCCCTGGATAAATTGAAGGATCGAAAATTCATTTTAGCACCATACCATCAAGAGTAAGAAAACAAAATTTAAAATTTTAATTATTTATATAACGTAATTTAAGAAAAGTCTATGTATTAGACTCTCGTGCATGTAAGCGCGAGTTGGAGATTAAGCCCACATTAAATGTGTAAGTATATATATATATATATATATATATATATATATATATATATATATATATATATATATATATATATATATATATATATATATATATATATATAGAGAGAGAGAGAGAGAGAGAGAGAGAGAGAGAATTATTATCCATTATAATTTATAAATTATTTATGAATGTATATTATAGGGTATTTCGATCGGTTGTAAATTTAGGAGGGAGAAGACCTAAAAACAACGTTGCTTGGGATGAAATTGAGGTATATATCAAAAAAAAATATTAATATTTTTTACAGTTTTATTAGTAACGTTTTTATTGTTTAACTTAATAATATATATACATAAAAACTCATATTTTGTAGTCTCCTCAATAACCGGGTAGTGTGGAGTGCGGATATTATGTGATGAGATACATGTATGTAATATGCACTCTATATTCTGATTTTGAACATTTAGACACGGTATGTAAAATTTATTAAAACTAAATAGTTTTAAATTATACTTTATTAATGTGAAACTAATTAATTGATTATTTTAAATTTTTGTAGGCATTTGATGCAAAGCCTTACTCACAAGAGCAAATTGATGAGATTTGTGAGGTCTGATCTAAATATTTTATTGAAGAATGCATATAACTTTGAAATGTTGAGAACTTTCATTTGAATTGTTGAGAACTTAGAAGTGTTGTGAATTTATGCATTGAAGTGTTGGTAATGAAGTTTAGTTTACTTTTTGTTGAGAACTTTGAAGTGTTGTGAATTTTGGCATTAAAGTGCTAAAGTGTTAGTGATGAAGTTTAGCTTACTTTGTGTTTAAATCTTTGAAGTGTTGATGTATGTTGTGAATTGAATATAATGAAGTTTAGTTTACATATATATATGTTATGAATGTATTTAGTTTGCTTAGTGCTAAAGTGTTGGTAATAGTATATGTGTATTGAAGTTTAATTTAGTTTACATATATATATATATATATATATATATATATATATATATATATATATGTCCAGTTTTTTCCTGTACAAAACTATCATTCACAACCTGTACATGCAGCCACAACCACTATATTGCAAGTTCAAAGCATTGAACTAAACTTAATCAATACATTCACAACATATATATATATATATATATATATATATATATATATATATATATATATATATATGTTGTGAATGTATTGATGAAGTTTAGTTCAATGCTTTGAACTCGCAGTATATATATATATATATATATATATATATATATATATATATATATATATATATATATATATATATATATATATATATATATATATGTTGTGAATGTATTGATGAAGTTTAGTTCAATGCTTTGAACTCGCAGTATAGTGGTTGTGGCTGCATGTACAGGTTGTGAATGATAGTTTTGTACAGGAAAAAACTGGAAATTTTATCAAATAAATATAATATATATATATATATATATATATATATATATATATATATATATATATATATATATATATATATATATATAGAGGATTATTTTCAAATACAAACCCCCCTTAAAATACAAACTTCCCTTAAAATACAAACTGTGTGCATGTAAGTATGTTAATGTGTGCACGGACTTTGATGGATGAGTGTGATTTTTTCCTCATACGCGTTCTGTGCATGCAAGTATGTTAATGTGTGCACGCGCTTTAATGGATGATTATGATTTTTCCTCCTACGTGCTGTGTGCATGTAAGTATGTTAATGTGTGCACGAGTTCAAGTTTGTATTTTAAGAGGGTTTGTATTTGAATGCAACCCATATATATATATATATATATATATATATATATATATATATATATATATATATATATATATATATATATATATATATATATATATATATATATATATATATATAATAGGAGTCCAAAGTTCGTTGACTTTAGACGCCTAAAGGTAATTTAAAAAAAAAAAAAAATACAATATGCGTCCAAAGTCAACGAACTTTGGACTCCTATTGTAGTTTTAGGCGTCCAAGTAACTTTGGACGCTGATTGTCTATGACAATCAGCGTCCTCTGCATAGGCGTCCAAGCAACTTTGGACTCTTATTGTCCATTTGCTTGGACGCCTATGACCTGTTCTGTAGTAGTGACTAATGAACATCAACTTATCACAATTTGAACTATAAATGTTAATTTCAAAAATTTATTCAATTATTTGCTTAATTGCCCTAATTTTTTGTTTGCCCTAATTTCTCTAAATTTATTTTTGCTTCATTTCCCTAATTTGAAATTACCATAATTTTCTAATTCAATTGATACTAGTTTGGGGATTACACTGATGAGCTGTCCTAATTTCCTAATTCAATTATTCAATTGAACTACAATGATGCACTACTGTCATTTGAGTGTTGACTGCTTTAGGCCTGTAGTTTTTGTCTAATTAATCACTAATCTTTGTGAATTACTAATTCTATGTCACTATGTGAATTACTAATTTATGTCAATAAGTGAATTACTAATTTGTTAGACTGTTAGTAAATAGTAATCTGTAGTTTTTGTCTACTGTATTTTTTGCTTAATTACTAATTACATAATCTGTTAGTAATTAACTAATTACTAAGTAGTAATTAACTAATTGTCTAATTACTAATTGCTAATTTGATGTAAGATGTAAGAATGTAAATGTAGTTCCAGACTTCCAGTAAGAATGTAAGATGGATGTAGTTCTAGTAACTATTAACTAAGTAACTAACTAATTACTAAATGCAGTTCCAGTAATTATTTGACCAAAAATGTAAGATGCTTATGTAGTTTCAGTAACTAAGTAACTAACTAATTACTAAATGTAGTTCCAGTAATTAGTAGACTGTAAATGTAGTTCCAGTAAGAATGTAAGATGCTTATCTTGATTTACTTATGTTATTTGTTATTTGTTAATAATTGATTACTTGATTAGTAATTAGTCCAATAAGATGCTTATGTTGAAAACGATATTTTGAAAAAGATCTTTTTGATCAAGTTTCAAATGAAGCAGTTCTACAACGATTTCAAAATATGAGTGAGCGTAGAGGAATATTATCCCGTAGTTCATCATAAATCTTGTAATGTAATTTATAAAGTATTTTGTATTTTAACAATCTTATTTGTATTTGAACATTTTTTAATGTACTTTCCCTTTGCTTCTTCGCCTTCACTGAAGAAAAATCCTGGCTCCGACACTGCCCATTGCCTTCTTTACTTAAACACTTGTTGATTTTGGGTAGGCTTCTTTTGGAGTTTGTACATATTCGTAAAAGTTGCAATTTTGCTCATTTTTTCAGAAAATGAACCAAACATATCAAGACAACTTTCTGGAATGCAACCAAACACTAAAAATGAAAATGTTTTCTGGAAAATTACTCATTTTCCAAAAAACATTTTTCAGAAGTCATTTTTCTGATTTCCAAACACACCCTAAGTGTAGGCACCCCATTGTTATCTTACTTAAACACTTGTTGATTTTGGGTAGTTCATCATAAACCAACAAGTGGTAACTCCCCCCCCCCCCCCCCCCACCCCCCACCCCGATTGCTTTTTAAGAAACCTTTTATTATATGTCAAGGAAACACCCCTCTTCTTCAAATCCTTTAAATAAGAAAGATGATTCTTAGACACTGTTCTATGCGACTGTAGCAGATAACTCTTGCTCAGTGGAACCAATTCATGATTATGTAGCTTCTCATGCTTTGTCACAATCCACATCTCATTCCCATCTATATCAAACTGAACAAATGCACAACAGCATATTCAAATATCAACTTTTGAATAACAACCCTTTCCCAAATTCAGTTTAATTTAAATCTAGCTTTTGAACACAAAAACTTCTTCATCTTCATTGTTTTTATAAAACCTAATCTAAAAGCATAGTCATTATACATCTCATATGCTTCATCAACAGAACTCACTGACGACCCTAACAAATCATGATCAGTTGCAAAACACACATTTTAATGTAAAACAGAGATTGAATCCAACATACAATAAACATACACCATATTTCTAAGTAGAGGGAGGTGGGGAGGGGGGGGGGGGGGTTGGTTAAGGGTATGCCGAATAAATCCAACCATGTTCTACAAAGAAATAAAGTTTTCACCGCATCAAGCTACAATAAGACACATAAATTCATAAAACAATATACATAATTAAGCATCTAAAGTGTTTGCACAACTACCCCTATTATTTAGGTACGGAATTCGTGACCATAAGGCACATAAAATCAAAACACCAAACACAAAAACTCATCACAAGATACGCATAAGTCATCTTAAGTGTTTAAACTACTACTATGATATAGATACATAATTCATGACCGTAAAGCACATAAAATGATAAAATCAGACACAGAAACTCATCACACGAGATGCATAACTCAACTACTCAGCTTCATCTACATAAAAACCCTAATCACAGATTCATAGATACACAACAGCTCGAATAAAAATACAATCAAACTAATAATTCAAAAATAGTCCTAGAAATTGTTCTCAAATAAGTAATCAACGAACATCAGATACGAATTCAATTAATTGCATCAACTCAGAAATAAAAATAACAAGCAAAAATCAAAATAAATCGCAACTATAAAATTTGTTTGAAAAAACCTGAAATAGATTCGTCTGTCACTTCCAATTCTTGCAGAGTATTAATCTCGTCATTCAATGCCAATTTCTGCGGGGCAATCATCTTATCCATATCGAGCACACGCAACTCAATGAAGATCAAATCCAAAGATACAATTTCGGAAATTCTGCGAGTGTGAAAAAACCGCAAAGATTTAAAAAAAAAAAAACTGCGAATATATATATATATATATATATATATATATATATATATATATATATAAAAGTACTTTGTTTTATGCTATAAGCTTGAAGACTAGACCTTGTAGGCTTTTTACTAAATACGCCAGGTCATTAAGCCCCTATGAAAGGGCCTGGCCTGTTTTCAGTCCTACATTTTATGAAGGAAATTTTAGGCAATCATTATTGTGTGGACCATGGTCCATACAAGTTGTGTGAATCGTATTTTGTATACTATAAAATAATGTAAATTCAGTACAAAAATAATGTACATTCAGCACAAAAATAATGTGCATTGTATTTAGGGAATATACATTATTTTTGTACTGAGTGTACATTATATTATATAATGTACATTCAGTACAAAAATAATGTACATTTAGTATATTAAAAATGTACTTTTTAATTTGTTGTGGTCTACATAACACTGTGTGGACCATAATTTGTCAATTTTGGGGGTCTTAAAACTTTAATTTTAATTACTTTATAAATCATTAAAATCTAAATTAGACTTTATTCCTAATACCCAGAATTGCTACTCTTTCTCTAAATATGTTATCTAGTTGAAGAAATCATAGCCGTCGATCTTCATCATCTAAATGTGCAGGAAGATGGTCATAAGACCTAAAGAAATTTCCAAGCAGAGAGTGAGAGAAGAGGAGTTCCTTTCCACCCAACAGTCAAGGCCTTCCCATCCATGTCAAGCGTGCAACTCTTCCCATCAAATCTCTTCAACACCAGACTTGCTTGGTACACAGACGACATGCTTAGTTCCATCTCCTTCATCCCAAACTGCCCAAAGAACTCCCTCCACACCTTTATCCTCACATGTCGAATCACCCTACTCTCCCCCTCACCTGCCACTACGTTCCTTATTCCCTCACCCAAGTGTTTCGCTTCCATCATTGCCCTATTAGCTTCATCGCTCTTCATACAATCCTCCAGTGAGTCGAAAAACGCCCCGTAGTAGAAGAGGGCTTCAGTGAAACGGTTCAAAAACCCCACGGAATTCATGTTTGCTTCCACTTCTGTCAGGAACATCACTCTGGGGTTCATGCTTTTGATCACCCTCATCAAAGACTCCATTTTTTCCTGCTTTGAAATCATTGTTGTGAAAAAGCAATTTGCGTATACAACCACTGCTTCTTCTTCTTCTTCTTCGCCATCTGGTTGAAACCCAGAGAGGCTACTTTCCTTACCATTTAGCAGGTCCTCTAAAGCCACTACGTTAAACGAAAAACACAAGTTTAAGGACTGGGCAAAGCTCCTTAATCTCATGCCCGTCGTCTCCTCCTCAATCTTGGGCTGGTGTTTATTTGCCTGAAGAGCAGTAATCTTTAGATGCTCCGGGCGGGGGGATTCGGCAAAGCTTTGCATCAGAATTGTCCACTGAACCCCACTCCTAATCTCAAGGTCAATGATGTGCACCTTTCTTGCGTCCGCTACGTGTTCTATCACCGTTTGAATGCTGGTAAATTGGAAGACCTGAGAGATGGGTACCTTTTCATGGAAAGCAATGATGCAGGGCACTAGGCTCTTGAGTGCTTCTTCAAGATCTTCTTCTTCATCATACTTCTTTCCCCAACCCTTTTCTGTTTGGCAAAATATTTTCTCCCATAGAGATTGGTTGAAATAGTGGACTAGCCTCTCCACAGAATTTCCCTGATGGGAGCTCAGTTCATCGCATCTGGTGAGTATCTTTTCTGCAGAATCATAGTCGGCTTGCCCCACTTTCTCCGCAGCGGCAAGAAGATATCCTACCAGCTCCATATCTTTACGATCTTGCTCCGAAAGTAGTCCCAAGAATGAATTAGAAGCAGTGCTATCCGGATGGGAAAATGATTGGATGAAGTTATGCCCAGCCAAGCGTAATATTGCATCGGTGGAGAACTTCTTCGATTCATCTTCTGCTCTTTTACGTCTGGGATTCGTCTTTAGTTTACTGAATCTTCTGCCAAAGCGTTTGAGGAGGGCGAGGGAAGAAGGCAATATTGCAGGATGGGTTAACGTTTCCTTGTTGCTGGATTCATCAGGAAGCTGAAATGGTGGTTGTACTGCAGTATCAAGATACAAGTCTTGGAGGGTTGGAGAATCCACAAGGACAAGTATTTTGTGGTCGTCTTCTTCTTCTTCACCATTAGCCTCGTTTTGAGTAGCATTCTGAGGGGGAAAACAAGAATTTCCCATTCAGCATCTCAGATCAGATTGCCGGCCTCTTGGTGATGCATCACGGAGTATTTTCCATATATAGCCTATAGATGGAGCTGCCCTGCTCGGTGCATGACAAATAAAAGGCTCCAATTGGGAATTAAATTAATATATATATTAGAATAATACATGTTGATGATGATAACAATTTCATTAATTAAATAGATTATGTCATTGATTACGTAACATAGACCTAGTCTATATCTTCTTCCAAAAGGTTGAATCCTTAACCCCAAAGATTACTCACACTATGACAGAGAATGTAAGATGATATATAAATCATGGTAACTCATGGCTCATCAGAGGCAAATTATTGTGTGGACCATGGTCAACATGACCACACAGCTGTGTGGACCATGGTCCAAAACGACGTCGTCGAATATTATGAGTAAGAATAATATACATTATGTGTTAAAATAACGTACATTGCATGTTAGAATATGAAACTTCTGGGGTAATATAATGTACATTATGTTTTAGAATAATGTACATTATGCTTTAGAATAATGTATATTATGAGTTATAAAAATATATGTTGCAACGAGTCGCGTGAATATATATATATATATATATATATATATATATATATATATATATATATATATATAAAAGACGTTTTTGGACCGTGGTCCACACAGCTGTATGGACCACATTTCACGCAATAAATATTGTTAAGCAAACATGGCCAAATGCTGATATGCACAAGGAATGTATCTTGGGAGTATGATTTTGTCCTTGCATTGCCTTGCATAAAATACTGGTAATCGAAGTATGATTTTATTATTATTATTTTTTTAATAAATTAGGTTTCTCAACTTACACTAACAGGGCGTTTGGTTGGAGGGAGGGAATTATGTGGGAAAGGAATTGTAATTCCATGGGAGTTGAATTACTGTGAATAAAGTGGGAATTTAAATTCCAGTGTTTGGTTGATAGGAATAGAATTACTGGGAATTTCAATTCCAATGTTTGGTATACATGGGAAAGGGAATAAGTAGTATAAAGTCAAAAATGTCTATTATTGTTGTTAGACATTAATTTTAGGTTAAAAAAGGAAGGGGTAATTTTGACTCATCACTATCTTTTTTTCCCAGGAATTAAAATACCAGGGGGGGACATGGGATTTTAATTCCATGAAAATGGGGGAATTGCAATTCCATGGAATTGCAATTCCCTTCAACCAAACTACGGAATTTAATGGCCTTTGGAATTAGGTGGGAATTAAGTGGGAAGGGAATTTAAAATCCCTCCAACCAAACACCCTGTAAACTAAAGAAGGTAAATCTCTCAAGTCCCTCAATCAGATTCCTACTTTGCTGTTGGAGCAAAACTTCTAAGGTGACCCTTAAACTATTGAGCTAAGCTTCGCGGAGTATGATTTTATTTATATGACCTTAAGTTAATTGAATGTCAATTTGCACCTTTATTTTCACTTTTCCAATTGTTTGAGATAGAAGAAAGTAATGGGAGGGATTTCTCTATGAAACCTAACAGCTAATAACTTCCTTCTTCCATGAGTTTCACATAGAAGAAACTAATGGGCATCAGTTCTGATTAAGGTGAAACTGGGGTGTATGAAATTCTTTTATTTGATGACTTTTGCATCATTAATATATCAATTCAAAACAAGAATTGGGTATATGTAGTCAATGAAAGCAATGCAAGTGAAATTTGTAATTGCGCTGCTGATATTTGTAGAGTTCATAGTGTAAGACGGAGCATCTAAGCTAAATAATTAGAAGTCAGATGCACTCTGTAATGGGGTTTTTGACTGAAATAGGAATGGGGTTAGGGTGATTGACAAGAATAGGAATGATTTTTTTTTTTTTGACAAAAATGGAAAAATCAAGTTTAGAAAATGCGGTTGGATTGAAAACCGCATTTTCGAAACTCGATTTTATTAAATGCCAACATCAACTACAGCCGCATTTGGAAAATGCGGATGTAGTATAATATACTATAACCGCATTTTCCAAATGCGGTTGTAGTATAAAGCAAATTCGCATTTGGGAAATACGTTTCTCGTATTATACGAGAAACACATTTCCCAAATGCAGATTTGCTACTGACGGGTCGCGTCAGTCGATATATGACTGACGTGACCGGTCACTACTTGATATGACCGGTCACTGCTTGATTAGAAATAGTTTTTTCTAGTAGGATATTTATTTTTCTTTTGATCACTTTAAAAAAGATCAGAGACTGAACAAAAATGGTGGATCTTGCATTAAAAATAAATATGACTGACGTGACCGTCACATCAAGCAGTAGCAGTGACCGGTCACATCAAACAGTGACCGTTCACGTCAGTCATATACCGACTGACGCGGCCCGTCAGTAGCAAATCCGCATTTGGGAAATGCGTTTCTCGTATAATACGAGAAACGCATTTCCCAAATGTGGATTTGCTTTATACTACAACCGCATTTGGGAAATGCGCTTGTGGTATATTATACTACAGTCGCATTTGGAAAATGCGGCTGTAGTTGACGTTGGTATTTAATAAAATCGAGTTTGGAAAATGTGGTTTTCAGCCCAACCGCGTTTTCCAAACTCGGTTTTCCCCTTTTTGTCAAAAAAAAAGAGCAAATTACACTTTTGGTCCTGTGACTATTGGGAGTGTGTTAATTTAGGTACGTGACTTTTAAAACTAACAATTTAGTCCTTTAACTATCATTTTTTTAGCAGATTTGGTCCTCCCGGCCAAATTGTCGGTGGAATTTGGCCGGAAAGACGTTCGAATTTTTAAATCAAACGCTATTTTTTTTACAATTAAAAAAACCAAATTACCCCCACCAACAACCACGGAAAGGTTCTTCCCTCGGATAGCTAGCGGGTACGGATCCCGTGCTGGTTCTTAGGGAATATATTGAGTGAGCAATATATATGTTTTTTTTTTTTCACAATCGGAATTCGCCCGTGGCTCGGACTCCCCCCTCAGAAGGGTAAAGTTTGACGAACTCGGACTAATTTTGCAATTAAAAAAATGGATTGTTGGTCGGATCAACAAGTATGGAATAGGCTCTTCCATTAAGTGGTGAGTAGGGGCAGGCCCCGTACCACCGCTAGGAAATGTCAAGGTCAGGATCGGCGCGCACGACCTCAACCTTGGATTCATTACTTCGCCTAGTGATAGGCGAGGTCCGACATCTTAACGCCCTAAGGCGAATCAATCAATACTGATACTTAGGGTTGACCCTCTCGAAAAATAGCTAAAATAAAATGTTTTGGACTTGTGAAATGGGTCCAATATCTCACATAGATTTTCTTGATAATTAAATGAAATCTATGTCATGAGACCATCATCTCAGCTCCAAATCCTCCAATATAATTCAATGTTTCCCATATGGCATGGCGGTCCATCAATTACCATAATTTATTTGAGAAACATATATAGATGATATTATATATATACGTACCCATATGTTGGGAGTGCTTGCATGCATGCGTATGTATATGTTCCTGTAAACACAAAAAAGTAAACTTTGTATATATTCCACAAAATTCCTTGTACAGTGTATGTATAATTCAATATGCAGGTACAAAATCTCTGTCTAGTCCTTTGATTCTTCACTGACGTTATCTATTGAAGTGCCTCCAGGATTTAAATAACGTAGCCTCTGGGATCCAATTGGCGCGTGCCTCCGGAATTCTAACGGCGTAGTTTCCGGGATTCAAGTGGCGCGACTTTTAGCAACGAACGTCAAGAATTTAGAAACGATCAACCCTGCAAAGTTTCAAAACACATGCAATGGATTCAAGTCGCCTTAAGATCCCCAAATGCCTTCAAAAGACTTCAAGATCTTCGAGACAATCAATTCTGCAAAGCTCCAAAATACCTACAATGGATTCAAATTGCCTGCAAAATCAACAAAAATGTCTTCAAGTCTTTAAGCGTTCTTCAATGCCTTCAAGCTCTTCAAGTGCTCTAGTTGTTCAAAACAATGCTCTCAACTCCTCAAGTCTTTAAGTTGTTGTTTTTTGGAATGAAAATGAAGGCCCTATTTATAGCTATAGGCCTAACCAAAATCCCTCAACCAACTCCCATTTTTAATTAATTAATTAATTAATTAAGAGAATGAACCTTGCCCAAAATCAAGTCTAGGTTCATTATCCTATCATCTAATTCAAATTCAAATTAAATTATAATTATTTAATTAAAATATAATAAATATATATTATATTTAAATTATAATTATAATTCAAATTCAAACATGAAATGGGCTTGGACCAATTAATTAATTAATTCAATAGCCCAAACCAAATTTAATTGGACTAATTAAATCAATTTAATATCTATGACCCAATTTAAATTGGCCCAATAACAATCTCAACATCGGCTCAATAATAATTTTGTCAGTCCATTTGTCGGGTTCAAATTTTCTGTGTCTACAAATTCCCCCCTCGAGACTTGTCGGGACACGCCACTTGATATGCTTGGAGCGAAGAAGTCTCGAAACTTAACAACGGCCCTTTAAATTTATCGTAGTGCATCTAAATTCCATAATCCCAAATGTTTGCCTGGATATCTCATGAACTCAAAATCATTTTAATCACAAAAGATTAAAATGGCACAATATATTCTAGTTCTACAAGCTCAATTATACACTTGAATATTCCATGAGCCCAAATATTATTTTAGGATGACATTAGTGACATTCTATGAGCCCAAAGGTACGAAGCTTTTGCTATGTGGAACATTAATCTTAATGTCCATTGACCCATTTAACATTCTAAACCCATCAACACAAGTCAAAGCTCAAACTCACGGTGAATCCTAACTCCAACCAAGCTCACACTATTTCATACGTGATTGTAGCAGCAAAGCTGTTCCAGTTTCGAAAATTTTATCCCAATCACATTTGTAGCGCCCAACTACAACTACAACTCCTTTACGATGAACTATAAATAGGAGCCTCACCACACTTATAAACTCACACCATAATCACGAACAGGGAAGTGAGGAAAAGCAATCCAAAGTCTGACTTTCTAACCAGGTA